GTAATTTCACTAAATGTTAAATCTACTAAATTATATACTGAATTCTAAAGGAAATACCTGTTTTATTACTAGGCCTATTTTTAAAAATACCAACTAGCGAGTAAGTATGGACTTTCTTTTTGATGGAGACTTCTTAATAGTTATTTCTCAGTCTGTATTTAATACTTGTCAATGATGACAAAACTTCTGCCATCTGTACCTGAAACCTTAATTTCTCTTTTCCTAGATCAAAGGCTTGCCTGAAGGTTTTAAACACCCTAAAATAGGTTCCAATTATTCAGCCCAGACAGTAGAGAAAACATGGAGAGCTTTACAAGATTTTAAGGAAGGAAATGCTATCTTTACTTTTCCAAATACTCCAGTAAAGTGTGCAGGGGCTCCTCAGAAGATCATGTATTTATCAGATGCATACTTGAGAAAAGTAAGTATTTTACCCTCTCTGCCAGTGCTTGTTCTCACAGTTGGAAGGAAGGCTTGTTCTGAGGGTTTCATATTATCTTTGAAACAAGTATAAACCATGTGAGAATGCTGTGACTCAGGATTATTAAAGTGACTGTGTTACTTTTTCTATTTTTAATGTATAAGGAATGCAGGCAAATGGATTGTACATAATATTTAGCATATATTTAATCCCAGAGAAATTTGTAGAATTCAGAAATTCAGAATTTCATACTGGAAGAACTGCTTGCCCTGCTTCTGGTGAGCTTCAGATACAGCTGTTCTTGGCCTAATTTATAACTTCATGTGGTGCACCAAAATAACACTGGCTAGGATGAAGTAATTCTTGTTACTTTAAGTACTTAATACCTGTTGCCATTTTTCTACTAGTCTGAAAAGTGGCTATGCTTGCTCCTTGGGGTGCATTGTCTCAGCATCAGGGGGAGTCTTAGCCTGGCTGTTAAAGCAAGCTTAGTGGAATCAAAAGACAACTTCAGGTGGAAGTGTCAAGCTTCATATGTGTATAAGTTTCATGAGTTACCTACTGGGTAAATACCTGAATTATTCATAGAAGTGCAGGTTTCAGAAAGCTTTTTTAACACTAAACTGCTTCAAGAATTTAACCTGCATACAGCAGTTCTTCAGTGCCTTGCAGCCACCTCTTCTCATCAGTCGTTTGTGTGAGGTATGTTCAGTACCTCATGCTGAAAGGGTCTACCTTCTAACATGCTGTGAAATATTAATTAAATATTCATTAATAATTGAACTGCATGAATACTTCTATCAGCTCTTTAGTAGTGCAGCACAGTTCTTTTGTCTCTTCTTGTCAGTTTCTTAATAGAAAATGCTAATTGGATCTCCTCCTGCAGACAGGAAAACGTTCCAAAGCAAACATCATGTTCAACACCTCACTTGGTGTGATTTTTGGTGTTAAGAAATATGCTGATGCATTGCTTGAAGTAATAAAGGACAGGAATCTCACTGTAAACTACAAGCAGAACCTCATAGAAGTTCGAGCAGACAAGCAAGAAGCTGTGTTTGAAAACTTGGACAAACCTGGAGTGACTGAAGTTTATCAGGTCAGGAGCTTTCAGACCCCTCATTTGGTTCTATTTGTTTTCCTTGTGTACTGGAAAGTAACTTCTGCATTGTTATAACACAGTCTGCTTTGTTGTGTATTGCTGTTCCCACCGAGAGTACGATCTCTAACTTTAGCAGAACATTAAAAATTCTGAAACCGAGGTGGAGAGAAGGAAAAATATATCATAAATTATGCCTGGATTCCTTTATGCTGTGGGAATGTCTCAGATGTATTTGGAGGAAGGCAAATTGCTTGTTAATGGAGTTGCTTGATAAGGTTCATGTTAATTAAAGGATGCACTTGAAATCTGAGAGCAGATTTTCATTCTATATACTCGTTTAAAAAACCAAAACATACACAAACCCAAGAAACTCTCTCTCCACACTGTGTTTATTGCCTTATACCAACAGATAGTTTGCTCTGGTGAACTAACCATTGAGTACCTTTCTTTCTGTTTAGTATGAAATGCTTCATGTCACACCCCCAATGGGGCCACCTGCTGTACTTGTCAACAGTCCTGTCTCAGATGAAGGTGGCTGGGTGGATGTAGATAAGGAGACTCTACAACATAAAAAGTATCCTAATGTCTTTGGTATTGGAGATTGCACCAACCTTCCAACATCAAAAACTGCTGCAGCTGTAGGTAAAGTTGCATGTGTATGTTTGTGTGTGTAAATGACAAGAGTGGAGTCACAGTAAACTTTTTGTTTAGTTTGCTACTCCTGAGGCCATGACTTGAATTTTGAGCTTTCAAAGAGACCAGTCTTTTTGGAACCAAAAAGTTTAGTTAGCTAGTTTGGACCAACTACTAGCCAGCTACAGACCATGTTGATGCCACTAACCCAACAGTTCTGTTGTTCCAGATGCCTCACAGATGAACTAATTCTGTTTTTTGTGTTCACAGAATGTCATATAATGAATGAACTATTCTTGTAATACATCATTCAGTAATGAACCTTTCTGCTTTATCTTAGCTCCTCATGCATGTGCCACCTAACTGTTAAGTCACTATCAAAAAATCGTATGTTCTGGCCTTGTAGCCACAGGTTCCACAATTAAAATACTTTAAGTGTATGGTCTCACAACTGATAAAAGGCAAATAAGAGTAGAAAAAACCCCAGGCTATACAGTATGTTATTGATGTAATGAAAGAGTGGGATACTTAACTACTTCAATAAATGGATCTACAGCTACAGCACTCAGAATGAAACAGAACTTCAGTGTGCCAGAACCTCAGTGTTTGGTAAGACTGAACAAATATAATTTATCATAGGAGAATGGGCATAGGCTAAAAATATCAGCTCAAGTAGCTAAGCTTGAACATGTTTGAAAGAGTGAGGACAAAGCATTAGTTCTTTTTTTCTAATCTGGGACAAGTTCAATTGCAGCTGAATTGTCCAACAAAATACCTTGCTACTACTGTTTGCTTTATATTGACAATAATTGCTGGCTGAAACAGTCTTAGTACACTTCTTTTTCTTTCTTATTTAGCTGCACAGTCTGGAGTCCTTGATAAAACCATTTCTCTGGTAATGAAGAATGAGTTGCCAGTTAAAAAGGTACTTATGGTTCTTGTCTTAGGGAGGAATTCTCTTGAATGTTTTCTCCCTTTTTACACAGGAAGACTTGCAGGCAGCTGTGTGTGAACTAGAAGGCAGGAAAGGCTTTGCCTCTGCAGTTGTGGTGCTAAGTGGTTACATGCTGCATATCAGAGTGGTAATGGAATTGCACAGTTGATGATACTGCCATTCCCTGACTTCTGAGTTCAGAGAAGGTTAGAGGCTAATTAGTCAGGGTTTATACTCAGTGCAAGTGATTTACTTAAGGTAATTCCTGCTCCAGAAAATGTCTTGCAAACTTGCTTCTCCTATGCAGGACATGATCTTTTAAGGAGTTAAACTGAAGCTTCTGTACTACAGCTATTAAGCCTATACATATTGTCAAATTTGTCCTTTAGCCTTTTTTTATTTTGGACATGGCTTTTTTGGGGCATTAACCTGAATATCTTGGAATTCTCTGGAAATTCTCACTAAAGATCCTCTTGGATTGTTGAAGTAAACACCAGCTCTCATCCTGATCTGCTGGTCACCTGTTTCACTAGTTACAATAACCAACCATTAATGAATGACATTATGCCCTATTGTTCTAGGTCTAATTTAAGCAATGTTGTTTAGCAGATCTACATTTGAAATAGAGTGGCTTAGTATTATGGTTAATAAACCAAAACTGGCTTAGCAGCCTTCCAGCTTCACTGGTATTTACACTGTAAATGCAGAAACCTCCTAGGAAGTTATTTTGAAATGTTAATGTTAACCATGGCTTGTAAAACCTCAGACTTTAGGCTTTGGTTCAGAATGATAAGTGGGTATTTTTCATTGCAGTATGATGGATACACTTCCTGCCCACTAGTAACAGGATACAACAAAGTGATTCTGGCAGAGTTTGACTACAATGCTCAGCCTTTGGAGACCTTTCCCATTGACCAGGGTAAGGAGAGAGCAACCATGTACCACATGAAAGCTGATATGATGCCTCTGCTCTATTGGAATGCACTACTTAAGTAAGTACTGAAGAAAAACAATCAGGTATGGACACCTGTTCTGGCTTAGCTCCTTGCTAGAATAGAAGCAAAGTACATCCTCAGCTCTGACCAGAACAACCCCCTAATGCCTATCTCTTCATAGTACAGTATCCTACAAAAAAAAACTTTTCCCAAGCCCTAGTCTGACAGTATATATAAGAACTTTCTCTGTTTCCAGGGGATACTGGGGAGGACCAGCTCCTGTCAGGAAGTTAATGCATCTGGGCTTGAAGTAACTGCTGGTTCTCCGCATTGGTTAAAACCTTCCAAAGAAGTGGACTGGTCTCACACTGGATCAATACATATCTTTCCTCTTGGAATACCTGGCAGACTTTTTTTTTTTTAATCAAGCTTTGGTCACTAATTCACTTTTCCTCCCACTATGGATTAAAGCCTTCATAGTGCTCTTTCCCTGAGGCCTTAAACTTTCCCTTAAGAGGCCTTAAAATACTTTGATATTTACACAGGAATCTGACCTTGCCTTACCCTATGGCTTACTACAGAAATTGCTGGAATAATCAATATTTTCAAAGCTATTGTGTATGTAAAATTTTCTTCTTGAAAAATTCCTAAACTGAATTGTCTGCATCCAAGATCAGTGCATGCACTGGATTTAACGGTGATTTAATACTAGTAAAACGGCCTGAAAGTCTCCTGTTCTCTTATTTTTGAAGAACATCAATACTAATATCTAAGCATACCTGCTGCCTAATTATTATAGGAATGCATGCAGAGTTTTTAAAGCAAAGAAGTCAAAGCAGTGTCTGCGTATATGGATACACACACACTCTTCTAGGATAGTTGAGCCACTTTGCATCAGTTCCTCTACAGTGTTTTAACCTGTGACACTAAGACCATCATGAAGAGTCACTGGAGAACACATACTAGGCAGAAGCACAATTTAGGATCACAGACAAGGGGGAAGTGCTTTTTAATTATGACCATATAGAACTCAGTTTTCAAGGGAAAGGTTGAACAAAGTTGAATTTGAGGGTTGAGTCTTCACAGAAGCTGGAACTTTAGAGGCAGTCAGGTAGGCAGCATGGAGCAAACAGGAATCATCTTCACTCACAAGAATCAGCAGCAGCAGCTTATTTCTAAACAGAAAGATAGATGTGAACATACTTCAATTTACAGCTTCATGCTTTTCCAACAGAGGTTTTAAAAGGTTTGCCTTTGAATTGCAATTATAAGCATGAATATATACCTGGGTGTTAAGTAATTCTTCAATCTTATTCTGGATCTGGCCATACACATCATTAAACAGCTCCTCCTTTGATTTTGTCCCATTCAAATGCACTTAAAGAAAGTAAAATGAGAGAGCTATAATAGAATGTCTCTGTAAGCTTGACAGATCCTAATTTGAAAAGCATGCAGCTAGCTGGTATCAGAAAAATACCTCCACCTGCTTCATTCACCTAACCAGTATGCATCTAACTAGTATGTATTGCACAGGTTTGAAAAGCAATCTCATAAAGTGCTTTTATCATTAAAGACTTACCCACATCAACTCCAAGTTCTTCCATTATCTTCCTGTGCTTTACGTACATAGGCCAAACATGGCCATCAAACAATCCAGGTGGATCCGGTACAGTGTAATTCCTTGAACTGTAAATTAAGGCACTGTTACTCACAAGTAGTCTAATAACAATTCAGGAAAATGACAGATCTTTCATTGGTGTTCCCTACACATTAGCCTAAGCCCATTGACTCCGGTCTGGTTTCTGAGCTTATTGAAAGTTAGTAGTTAGCAAGGGCTGCAAGTATCAAGTAATGCAAATAAACTGAAATTTGATGTGCAAGTCCAAAGTGTTTAAAATGCAAAAGGAGTTCCTGAGACAGACCTGATCTAAATACTAATGAATAAACTCTTAGAAGCTCTAGCAAAACTTTGGTAAAATAGCTGTCTGCATATTCCTCTTGAAATGTAATTGAAGTTTCCATTTGCAGTAAGAACATTGTATGTGTGCAACAATACAGCCAAATGTAAAACCTCAGATAGTTCGAGACCTGGCAACTGCATAATTGGAAAACCAGCATGAGAGAAAGCCTAGTGAAAGGTGTGTGCAGAACTGAGCATTACATATATGCCACAATAGCTTGGTGGCAAGTTTTAGGTCAGTTTGGTGAAAGAAACTACGGTTTTCTAATTTAGCAGCTACATTTGCTTTATCGCTTCTCATTAAAAGCTTCAGAAAAACAAACGCTTGAATGGAGTAAAATGTTATTGGGCTAGCAAAGAACTCAGACAAACTTACCTTCTTCTCCTTTTACACTCTTCGTATGGAATGGAAAGAAAGTACCGATGGTGGAAGACATCAATCAGTGGCCTGAAAGAGATACCCGTTTGGTTACACCTCAACTAATTAGTAGCAAACTCCAAAAAAGTCAAACTACACCCATTTCCTGTACTTCCAGCGACCTTTAGACTTGTGACACCTAAACTTGGCAGTAGTCAATGTCAGATGCCAACTCTTGGTTTAGAACACATCTTTTTATTCCCTTGGAGGTGTGCCCATTACATAAAATAATGTAAAAGTCAAAATGTATGAAGGCACAATTGATTACCTGTAGGTGTAAAGTAGGAAGCCTTCAACAATAAGAATGTGGATTGTTTCATCTCCTCCCTCCTTATCTTCCAAGATCTGGGCATCCAGTGTGTTGTTGATCCCATGAGAACGTTCAAACTTGACTGGGTTTTTAATCCAAGCATTTATGGTACTCATCATAGCTTCCATATCTAATGCACTAATCACTAAGATAAAACAGACAACTATCATTAAGCAGTAATTTAATATAATCTAGTGATACAGTCAGTACAAAACAGTGCACATAAAGAATCAAAATACTCTTAAGTTTTTGAGTTATGCTTTGATAACACTAACAAAGGCTTACCATCATACTGTTTAAACCCATCTTCAACTTCTATTTCATCTTGGGGCTGAAACAGTAACAAGAGAAAAAAAACAAACCTGCTTGGTCAGGACAGCTACTGAGAAGGTCAATACCCATTTCAAAGCAAGATTCAAGAGCCAAACCCAGAAGTTACAAAGGGGAATCTTAACCCTCCACCAGGTTCCTTTGAATGCAGATAAAACCAGCAGTACGAAGCTCAGATAAAGCCGCCTGCTCCTCTATCTTCCCACGGACACGAGCACAGCGCTCCGCGGAAAGTCCTGGGGACCCGCTACCGCGCGGGCTTATCCGGCCGGCGCACGGCCCCGCCAGGCAGCGC